CACATATTTTACAAATTGTATTTATGTAGGAAAACAGTTTTTGTTTAGCCATCCTTAACCTGCATGGCTAAATAGCTGAAAATATTTGTTGTATCACCAGCATGGCAGAGATCGTGGCAGTGTGATTCAATACCACACATTAACTAGCAGCAGGACCAGTACTTCATAGGCTATCAATATAGTTCTCTCCATGAGTAGACACAACGGATGAAGTCTCATCACATGTGAGTTCTCTTTCCTACTACAAATAGTCCTTCAAACACAAACTGTGGTACTTGCAACATTCATGGACAAGGCAGGAACACATCACAAGATCCTTTTCTAGACTTCTAGAATTATAACCAAAACAATCTGGGATTCTGCTCAGGCTTGACTCCACCTAATTTCATGATGTATCTAGTTAAAACACTCTTGGCATAAAAGTTCATAGACGCTTCCAACAGGGTTGGGCTGTGCCACACAATAGAGTTGATGTGGAAATTCATTCAGTCCGCATTTTAATGCAAACCAACCAAATTTGCACTTCTCAAAACAATCCACAAAATGAAACATACTTTGGAATCTGTACTTTTCAATTTTGCAATGCAAAAAATGTAGTGTAAAAATGTGTACAAAAAGCACAAAGAAAAATGGACAAAAATACAGAGATTAGGGAAAACAATGTATAAAACTGCAATAGCAAACCCTGCTTGCAAAAATGTGTATTGGGGGAAATGCATACAAAAAGATGTAAAGGTTTCCAATAGAAATGTTTGTAAAAAGCTTGCAAACTGATATAGAAATAAACTGAAGTTTGGGAAAATGAGAAACAGAAACAAAAATTGCCATTTGATCATCTGTAGTTCCTTCCACCTATGATTCTTCAATACAGGAAGAGCTGTAGGACATGCTTATGGGTAAGATTTTTTTAAAAGGTAAGTTACTGGAACCTTATTAAATAAGATTTAAATCAAGAAGTGAGTAAGTCTCAGTTCTGCAGGAAAATTAGAAAGCATTATCTGAATAGCACTTGGGAGATAGAGGAAATGAATATTTGAACTTAAGTGGTATGCTAGCATGCTTGCGGTTAGCTTTCGATAACTCATGATTCCTATACAGTAAGAAATAAGTATTACACTGAAAATAATGGTTAATTTCTGGATGTCAACTCTTGATTTCAGATGTCAGAGTAAGTAGATGAATTTATATTATTTTAGATAAAGGAGATACATACATTCTAGAGAAAGGAGATGCATTTGTCTTGAAAACGTGTATATATGTGGAGAAGAATCATAACCCTAAATTATGCCAGCCCCTGTGGGAAACTTACTGTTTAATGAGGACAGAGTTTCAACTTGTGGGGGGTTGTTTCAAAGTGTTCTAACCAGGGAATTAACTGTTTTAACTTGCTTTTTTTTTCAGTTTACCTTTTTCCATTAGTTAGGTGTATATGCTATTTTGTTTTAAGGAGGAAAGGACAGGGCTGCCAAGGAGTAGGCCCCAGTCAACAGAATGGCTGGGGCAGGTTCTACTAGAGGGAATGCATTCAGACACCTGATGTCAGTGATCACAGGTAGGAGAAGGAGTTACACTAGGACCAGACCATGTAACTACCGGGGTGGCAGGTTTAGTCGTTGTTTGAAGACCAGAAGGATACGGGTATCAACAAGGGTGACCCCCATGACCTTAAGCTGCTGCTGTGCAATGCCATGTCAATGATTCACAAGACCACTGCCATCCATTAATTGATCGTGGATGGAGGAACTGACCTGGCATGTGTAACAGACACTTGGCTGGCCATGGCAGACAAGCCTGTTCTTGCTGCTGCTTGTCCACCAGGTTTCTCTTATGCACAGCAACCCAGGTCATGTGGGCAGGGAGGCAGGGGGCAGTGATTTTTAGGAAGTCATTAGCTTGTGCCAGGCTTCCTATTGGGGAGACCCCGTTTTCTGAGTGCATGTTCTGGAAGTTGGGCAATAGGGGCAGTACAGGATTCCTATTGGTGTACTGACTTCCTCGCTGCACCAAGGATTCCCTGCCCAGCTGCTTCAGGTCATGTTGGATGTTCTCCTTGGGACACCAGACTGGTGGTCTTAGGGGATTTGAACATCCATGCCAACATGACCTTACAAGGGGCTGCTCAGGATAGTGGAAAGCATGGCTTCCATGGGACTGTCCCTGAACACGTTTGGCCCAACACATAGCTGTGGACATGTCTTAGACCTGGTGTTTATGTCTATGGACATGGGTGATCTGACACTAAGTTCCAGTGAAACCAAAGAAGTGCCATAGTCAGATCACTTCCTGGTGCAACTAGACATCTCAGTGACCTTTCCCCTCAAGGGAGGTGGGGCTGATTTGAATGGTCCACCCCTGCCACTTAATGGATCCAAATGGCTTCCAGAGAGTGGTATGGGGTGTCTTATCCCATGTTGATAGCCTTTCAGCCAATTCCCTTGTGGCCTGCTGGAATGCAAAGTTAACCAGGGCTACCAACTATCTGACTCCAAAGTGCCCTCTCCAATTGCATGGAACCCGGATGGACCCATGGTTTCCCGCAGAGCTGAGGGCGATGAAACAATTGCTGAGATGGCTAGAGCATCAGTGTCTGGAGGTAGTTGTAGGATGGATGTGAGTGTCTGGAGGTAGTTGTAGGATGGATGGCAGTCAGTGTATTGAGGCTGCATCATCTCGACAAGACAGAAGTACTGTTTCTGAGGGACAGAGGACGGGCAGGTGTGGGGGACCCCCTGGTCCTGAATGGGGTAACTGTGCCCCTAAAGGACCAGGTACGTAACCTTGGGGTCATCTTGGATTCACAGTTGTGCATGCAGACGCAGGTTAATTCTTTGTCCAGGGCGGCTATCTACCAGCTCCTTCTGGTATGCTGGTTGAGACCCTATCTGCCTGCGCCCTGTCTCGCCAGAATGGTATATGCTCTAGTTATCTCCCACTTGGACTAATGTAATGTGCTCTACCTTTAAAGGTGACTCAGAAACTACAACTAATCCAGAATGCTGCTGCCAGACAGGTGACTGGGAGTGGCTGATGGGACCATGTAACGCCAGTTATAAAAGATCTATACTGGTTCCCAGTATGTTTTCATGCACTCATGAATAATTCCAAGCATGTCTGGAGGATGAAGCCCATTTGGACCCCACCCTGGGACTGAAATTGCCCTTGTCACACTGGTCGATGATCTCTTGCAGGCCAGGGACAAAGGTGAAAACTTAACTGGTTCTGCTGGATCTCTCAGCAGCTTTTGACACCATTGGCCATGGTATCCTTCTGGACCATATAGGGGGTCCAGTAGTACTGCTCCTGCTGGGCTGCATCCAGAAAGTGATGCTGGGAGATGAGTGTTCGGACTCCTGGGCACTTAACTCCCCATGCTTTTCAACATCTGTATGAAACTACTGGGAGAGATCATGAGGGGATTTGGGCTGGGTGTTCACCAGTATGTGAATGATACCCAACTCTACCTCTCATAAGTGAAGGCAGTGAACATCCTGTGTGAGTGTCTGGACGTAGTTGTAGGATGGATGGCAGTCAGTGGATTGAGGCTTCATCTCGACAAGACAGAAGTTCTTGTTTCTGAGGGACAGGGAGCAGGCAGCTTTGTTCTGCATGTTCTGCATGTTCTACAAAAGGGGCAGAATCTACCAATAGATGAAAGATGATTCAGGTGAAGGGGGAGATTCAGGCATCTTTTTAAAAGATACAAAAGTTCTAACTATCTCCCCCTATGTTCAGTGGGTGGTGTGGGGGACTCCATGGTCCTGAATGGGGTAACTGTGGCATTGTAGGACCAGGAGAGCAGCCTAGGAGTCATTTTGGACTCACAGCTGCCCATGGAGGCACAGGTCAATTCTGTGTCCAGGGCAGGTATCTACCAGCCCCATCTGGCATGTTGGCTGAGACCCTACCTGCCGGTGCCCTGTCTCACCAGAGTGGTATATCCTCTAGTTATCTCCCACTTGAACTACTGCAATGTGCTCTACCTTTGAAAGTAACTCGGAATCTACAACTAATCCAGAATGCTGCTGCCAGACAGGTGACTGGGAGTGGCTGATGGGACCATGTAACGCCAGTTATAAAAGATCTATACTGGTTCCCAGTATGTTTTCATGCACTATTCAAAGTGTTGGTGCTGACCTTTAAAGCCCTAAATCACTTTGGCCAAGATACTTAGGTACAGCCTTGAGGGCTTTTTGGTGGTTCCCTCAATGTGAAGGAAAGTTACAGGGAACCAGACAGAGGGCGTTCTCGGCAGTGGTGCCCTACCTGTGGAACGTGCTCCCATCAGATGTCAATGAGATAAAGAATTACACATCTTTTAGAAGATATCTGAAGGCAGCCCTGTATCAGGAATTTATTAACATTTGATGTTTTATTATGTTTTTATATGTGCTGGAAGTTACCCACAGTGGTTGGGGTATTGTTGCTGTTATTATTATTAAACCATGCTCTAGTGGCATAAGCAGGAAGGTACAAAGTGCACTTCAGGCTCTTCTCTTTCTCCTATTCCATTCACATATCCAGGACTATGACTTGTATGAAGTTTAGTTTCACTTACCAAAAAACATACTATGTTGTTACATGCAAATCTGAGATAGTTTAAATCTCAAACTCTCATCAGCTTCACAAACTTTAATCTAACTTTTTAGAAACTAACCTGTTTGTTTTCAAACACGATCTCTGGTCTGCCTGCAAAAACAAGTCAGGTTTGTGGGAAGCTAATCTAAATTCTTCTAGTCCTCCTCCTGTCTGACTGAGAGAAGGAAAAGTGTTTATTTTCCCTCAAAAATTTCATATTAGGAAAATACTCCAGTGTTAAGATACTTCATATACTGATTTGGTGCTAAAGTGTCATTCACACTGAAGAATACAGAAAGTGTAATATATAAATAAATTCCGAGACTCTTTTTCAATGCTGCTCTTTCCAACACTGATTATATAAGATAATTCAAAGAGTCCATTTTAAACTAAATATACCTTTATAGCACTGTAAATGCACTTACCCTTCCAATCTGACATCAGGTAAAGATCTATTGAGTGCAATCCTTTCACTTGCCATTAAATTAAACTGGTTAATTTTAAACATTTCCTTCATTTTTTCTTGGTCCTCTTTAGGAATGACAACAGGTTTCCCCATTTCTCCAGGGCCTTCATGAGGTTTTTGTACAAGTTCTGGAACTAAAAAAAATGTTTGTATTAAAAAAAAGAATTTAAAAGATGTTAAACTTAACATCTGTACTTACACTGGTATAACCCCAGTTACAGTAACACCATTTTTAAAAATCCACTAAATGGACAGACATTTTAGAAGCAAAGAGAAAATTGGGTTTAAAATTGTATGAGATAGAAAATAAAAGCATCAGTTCTCTAGAGCAAGCTTATATAACTCACTCTGATTTTGCATACAGGCTATTCTGTAACAACTGTTGTAAAATAACATACTGATTATGACACGTATATGACTGGAGAAGATGAAGAGATGAAAACAAAATGCCAAAGCAAATTAACAAAATGGAAACATAATAGATACTCAAGTAGTTTGCCTGCCAATATATAAATGTTAAGAAGCTCCTCTTCTTTGGCGATCACTTGTAACCAAATAAGATTGTCTTCCATGAAAACGGTTTTAACGATGTATGTCCGTAGGTGACTGTGATTTTCCCAGATTTTTTTGATGAGCTGTGAAGTTGTTGTGCAAGTTCAATTCTGCCCACTTTGAAGACTTCAGCAGGTATCCCATCAGGTCTGCTGGTTTTGTTGTTTTTCATTTGGCTAATAGCTGTGCACAACTCTCCCAGATTTGGAGATACTGCAAGCTCATCTCTAATTTATTTTTGCAGAATTTGTATGGGAACCTCAGCAGCTACAGTGTGACGCGGAGGCTAAAAAAGCCAATGCAATTCTGGGCTGCATCAATAGGAGTATAGCATCTAGATCAAGGGAAGTAATAGTGCCACTGTATTCTGCTCTGGTCAGACCTCACCTGGAGTACTGTGTCCAGTTCTGGGCACCACAGTTCAAGAAGGACACTGACAAACTGGAACGTGTCCAGAGGAGGGCAACCAAAATGGTCAAAGGCCTGGAAACGATGTCTTATGAGGAACGGCTAAGGGAGCTGGGCATGTTTAGCCTGGAGAAGAGGAGGTTAAGGGGTGATATGATAGCCATGTTCAAATATATAAAAGGATGTCATATAGAGGAGGGATAAGGTTGTTTTCTGCTGCTCCAGAGAAGCGGACACGGAGCAATGGATCCAAACTACAAGAAAGAAGATTCCACCTAAACATTAGGAAGAACTTCCTGACAGTAAGAGCTGTTCGACAGTGGAATTTGCTGCCAAGGAGTGTGGTGGAGTCTCCTTCTTTGGAGGTCTTTAAGCAGAGGCTTGACAACCATATGTCAGGAGTGCTCTGATGGTGTTTCCTGCTTGGCAGGGGGTTGGACTCGATGGCCCTTGTGGTCTATTCCAACTCTATGATTCTATGATTCTACTGGGGAGTTGCAGTTAAGGATATGCTGGTAATGTTCTTTCCAGCGGAGTGCAATAGCTTCTATATCTTTTAGAAGTGTGGTGCCTTCTGTTGAGTGTCGGAGGCATAAGCCATGATTTATTGGCCCATAGATGGTCTTTGTGGCTTTAAAGAAGCTCTGCATCATGAGTGTCGGCTAAGTGCTGGATCTCTTTAGCTTTTTTAAATCCACCAGGTGTTCTTTAGTTCTCTGGTTCTTCTTTGAACCTCAGCCTTAGCGTTGGGATAGGTTTTTTTCTTAGTGGCGCAGTTTCTATCTCTTTGCCAGATCTGAAAGGGCTTCCTTTTCTTATCAATAACGTGTTCAATCTCACTATCATTCTCATCAAATCAGTCTTGGTGTTTCTTAGTTTGGTATCCAATAGTTTGTTTACAGGCTGCAATAATTGATGTTTTTAGCTTGGTTCAGTGTTCCTCAATGTTATCAGGGAATTCTGAAAACAGATGGTCCTTAAGAGACGTTTGGAAGCAATCCCACTTAATAGATGTCGAACGGCTTGAGTGTTCATTTTGCACCTTGGTTTCCTTCCTTGAAGCCCGCGTTGAGGCTTAGCCATTGTGGAATGTATTAATCAGAGATCTGTCTAGCAGTCATCAGCACTCGTCATATCTCTAGTAAGGAACACATCACAGCAATCTTCAGCTCAGACAATTCAGCTCAGTCTAAAGAGGTGCCAGTGGTTTGACAGAGGATGCCTCCATGATGTTTTAAATTTATTTTTTTGTCGAAAGAACAATATAGCACATATAGTCAAAAGTAAAAGTAAAATTCCGTTCTAATTACTGTTGCCAATTCCTGCTTTCCCAATAGTCCCAGGCCACAGATCAAAATCTCGCCCAATTCTTGCATTAAAATCACCCAGGATAATTTTATCCTCCTTAGGCATCTCTGATAGGATGGTATCCAGCTGAGAATAATTTTTTTCTTTAATGTCATCGGTATCCAGTGTTGGTGCATACGTGCTTAAAATAGTAGCCCGATGGTTTTTGGCAAGTTTTATTTGAAGGGTTGAAAGTCGCTCATTAATGCCGGTAGGGACTTCTGACAAGAGCTTCACAAGATCGTTTTTGATAGCAAAGCCTATTCTATGTATTTGACGTTCTTGTTCAGGTAGACCTTTCCAAAAGAATGTGTAGCCTCCTTTTTCTTCCTTGTCCCCCTCCTGCTCTTCAAGTTTCTTGAAGCACTGCAACATCCATGTTAAAACGTCGCAACTCTCTTGCAATGATGGCAATATGATGGCAGTACTGCATTCAAGACACTCATTATCTGTTATCCAACAAAGTCTGTATATTCCATGATCAAATTTTGATTGTCTTTTACGACTGCTGGGTGGTGACCCCACTGGACATGGTAATCCAGTCAGGGGGAAATGGGAGGCAGTCTATGTTTAGGGCACCTTTTCTAGTCCCTCCCCCTTTTCGGGTGAGCAGAGTGGATCCTAAATAGGACTGTTCAGTCATGAATACAGCTGCTGAGCTACTCAACTTGAGTCAGAGCGACTGAATCTGTATCCACTGCTCATGAGCTGGTGTTACCATTTGCCAATCACAATGGGACTTTTGGGGGGCTGGGTTTTTGGAAGACGTCTGCGCGTGAGTTTGTTTTATGTTTGTAAATCAGTGCACGGTGACCAACACACAGCCTTTGTGGTAAGGCTCTATTCTGATGGCATGAGAATCACGACAACCGGTAGATTCATATCTGCCGCAGCCTTCATCTATCTTCACAGCCGTTGTAACATACTGCTTGTTATCTTCTGCCTGTTCTACTGCTGAGGACTTCTTGGATCATTCTTTGTCTAGCTCCTCCCCTTTGACCTTACCACCTCGGGTGACCCTGCTGGGAGTAGAGACTCCTGAAGGCTTCGCTCACAAGGGTCATAGGAACGTTAAGCCCACTCACCACAACAAGGTGATAATCCAGCTGCGTTGATCAGCATGCACTGATTTACAGACATAAAACAACTTCCCACACAGGCGTCTTCCAAAAACCCATACCGGTAAAAAGGAATTGTCTACTGGCCTGAGGGGTCTGATTCTGTGTTCAGATTACTCTCAAAGCTATTAATTTCCAGTCATCTTATATTGCATCAAGCCATTGTGCAATGACACTGCTGTGTGACACACCTTTGTCATCTTTCAGGTTTTTCTTACCAACCATTTGTACAAATCCAGATATATCTTTCTTCCTACTAAAATAATGTAATAACTTGAGAAAAGATCCACATTAGTGTCTGCAACACTTGTCTAGTTCAGACAGTAACCATACTGGTGAACTGGGCCAGTGTTTTAACCATGAAAGCTGCTTCTTTACAATAAGTAAGTGAGGGTTTACACCTGAAGTTTAGTGTCTAGAAGGGAGCAAAGCAGTTTAGATGAAATGTAGGAAATACAAGGGAGGGCAGAAGATGGAGTGGGAGGGCGGTGGCGCCATAGGGGAAAGAATGAGATGATGGTGTTTACTGGGGAAGAAAGAGCCATATGCGGCCAAAGGAGAGCTGAACAGGCCCCAAGGTTCTGCACCACCTACATAAAATTATAGGGCTGGATGGGACCATAGCTTATTCTGCCCTCCTCTCCCTCCCACTATTATTCCACAGAAGAAATCATTTTTTGAGAGCCAACAATCAAATGTTAGTTCAGTGTATCCATGCAAAATCTGTGCATGCGTTTCTCAACCAGCTGTTAAAATGCTTTTGAAATGAAAGAAATGCAAACAGTCCCTGATACCACATAAAAGGTCTACTGTTCAGTGGGCGGGGGGGGGGCACACTAATTCTGGTCCAGATAATTTAAGAAGAAAACAAACACACATTCCTCCTATCTGTTGTAGTCTTAAACTGGCCATTACTTCACTTATTTTATGTGGTATTTGAAAACTTAATCTCTGGTCACTAAATACTATTAATACTTACCATCTCCAGGTGGTAGGCCTCTCTCTTTTTTCTCATCACATTTGTTGCATTCGCTGAAGTAAAGTAACAAAAACATATCCAGAAGGACCCAAACCAGTGAGGTGGCAAGGACCACCTTACAATACGCAAATTTTCTCATGGCACTTTAAGTCAAAAACAAAAATGAAGTGTATATTGAAGTCAGTGACGCTGCTTTAATCCCATTTCAGAGATCATGTTCCACATCTATGGAGGGAAAAAAAATAAAAGAGTTACAAATGAGCTGAGGAATAAAGTATCCTTCTCAAAATATAACAGACAAGTTTAATGCACTCAAGTATGATTATTAAATAGATGCTTAGGCAATGTGAAGTGCCTCAAGCATAGGCACTCTAGTGAGCCAGATCTTACCGAAAATGACAATTCCATTCTCAGTAGAACTCCTCCCCAAAGCAAAATGGGCTGTAATTGAAATCTGGTATCTCATTATCCTAAAACTATCCAGAGTATGGTAGCTCCAAATAAAAATGTAGGGAAAAAATACTTGAGCTTATGTACTCCAAGATGGGCATCCAATAGCATTGTTTTCATTACTGCATGAGCCAGCTCTTCCATTTCCCAACACATAAAAATGCCTTCTCTGCATCACACTTACAAAAATGTGGGAGAACGGCCTAACTTCCCCATCAATTTCTAAGCTCAGAAGAACTATTAAAGACGTTCTGGAGCAAACTACTTCTCCAAGCAAACTATTCTAATTAAGTAATTTACCCAGCAACCCTGTGTGCAAGCTATACACACAAATCCATCCTGAAAGCAGTGATCTCTACCAAACAGAGAACTGGTGGTTGAACAAATAACCCCTGGAAGTAACAAAATATGTAGTGATACCTCGGGTTAAGAACTTAATTCGTTCTGGAGGTCCGTTCTTAACCTGAAACTGTTCTTAACCTGAAGCACCACTTTAGCTAATGGGGCCTCCTGCTGCCACCGCACTGCTGCTGCGTGATTTCTGTTCTCATCCAGAAGCAAAGTTCTTAACCCGAGGTACTTTGAGTGTGCGCTGTGGGGGGCATCACATAACACAAAATCGAGACTACGGTCCTTGTTGTTTTTCTCCACCATCCCCCACCCTGCAACAACCTCATACTTCCCAAGAGAAGTCCTGCTGGTCTTAACTGTGGAGATCATAGATTTTAAAGGCACAAGAACCCCCCTTTCCCCAATGCCAACCCTAAACCAAACCCTAGGCTGCCATCATATACCCACTTTTTCTTTAAGATCAACTGTGTAGTAGCATTAGCAGAAAATAACTTATAAGAGTGCTCTTGTGTTGCCACTCTCTGGACCTCTCGTGGAGGAAGTAAGATGATAATTGCAGAGTCCCAGATGGTTTATGCGGTCCTGAGACGTTTAAGGCTTTGCTTATTCTGTTAAATACTATTGTATATTGATAATGCAAAGCAGGGCAAAACTGATTTCAAATACATGTGTTTGCATCTTATTTCAAGGCAAGGCTGAGATAAGTCTAGTCAAATTACAAGCTCATTTTGAGAAGCATTAACATGAAAGATTATTTCCTTCTGTGAGACACAATATGGAACAGCAAAGAGGTACTGACATGGGCTGTGGTGATAAGAGATCAAAACTCCACTCAGCGATGAAGCTCACTATGAGACCTTGAGCCTGTTCCTCTCACATGCTTATGAAGACAGGAGAGAGTAGGGAGAACTATGTACACTTTCCACAGCCATTTGAGGAAGGGTAAGAAAAATAAGACATTTTAAAGTGACCCAATTAATATTAAAAAAATAAATTGTCATCTGCCCATCTGTCAAAGTGATCTGCTGGGAGTGAGGGTAGGGAGAATGCAGGATCTGGTCCTCCAACTGGATCCTGTTCCCCAAAGCTGTACTATCATCCACCACAATTCAAGTCCTTATTTTGTGAGCTTCTAAAAATTCAGCTCTCTGAAATGAATTTTCTTTGATTAAAATAGTGGGCAACCTCTCTACTACACCTTGAATAAAACTAGGCAGGACTGCCAAAAGCCAAATAAAATTATTCCAGGGTACAGATTCTGGTTGGAATCCACTATGTACCTATTAGCAATACATCATTGTTCATATCGTATTTAACAAAGCCACTAGTCTTTTACCTAAATCCCAATTATAGACAATTGTAGTTTTGTTACACATAATTCCATGCTCAAAGTTGTTTACAGTACAGTAACCTAGATTTTCTGGTCTTTATGTACTATAGTGCAAACAAAAGTGCATTGAACTGAGTTTCCTGCTTGGCAGGGGGTTGGACTCGATGGCCCTTGTGGTCTCTTCCAACTCTATGATTCTATGATTCTACAGTTTACTGAAGCAGCTTCAATTACTTTTAAGTTCCTCAGAACCGTTTCAGGTTTTCTATTCATGACTAACTGGAAGGAAACAGTCTTGGTAAAAGATCAGATCATCATCAACCTTTTATTAGACCGTCAGTCAGAAAAAAGTACATTTGTCAATACACAGTTAAAAGCTCCAGGAAGATTTTAGAACTTAGCCAACACTAAAATGGGCTAAACAGATAGCCCCGTATCAATACAATCAATTAAAGTCTTGCGACGCTTAAAAGCTAAAAAAAGAAATTTGGCCACCAAGGAAGGTATAGCTCTAGTGACGTTATTCAGCAAGTGTAAAACCTGGTTTTCTCCGGATAGGAAGCTAGATTGACATAGGAGTGGGTCTATAAAATTTTGTCTAAGCTCTGCATAAGAAGGGCAAGTCAAGAGAATGTGTTCGGTGGACTCAACCACACCCAAGGCACAATGACAGGTTCTCTGGGTGTATGGTACACCCCTGTACCTTCCCCACAATATCGCAGAGTCAAGGACATTTAATCTAGCCGCTGTAAGAAGTCTACGGTATTCCACATAGTGAATTTCTGCATGGTAGGGGGCTGGTATGGTCCGATAAATCTGGTCCCCTAGGAACATCCCTGGTTTTACCTGGGCTATGTCCTCTTGTCTGGCAATGTCACTCAGTCTCCGGGAGATCACAGCTCTAGCTTGATTGTACATCATAGACTCAAAGTAAAGGTGAGACAATCCGCAGGATTGAACCTCGTCAGTGACCTCCCTTTCCCACGATGATTGGAAATCGTCCCTCAATATCAAGGGGGCAATACCCACTGATTTAAAACAAAGCTTGAGCCATAGCCAGAGCTTCGTCTTCAAGGCCACATGCCGTATAGCTTGCCAGCCGACCTCTAATCTCATAACCGCACCCGCTACCGAGGGGGGAATCCTAAGGATGGCTCTAAGGAATCGCGTTTGGATAGAATCCAATTTCAAAAAATCCCTATGGGAGCCTAAAGAGATGCCCACCAAAAGAAGGGGGAGGACTTTCATTTGAAAGAGTCTCAAAGCTATCTTCACTGATTGAGCCTGATTCTTAGCATATAGGGATCTAATCTGGATGGCTGCTTTAGATGCGTTAGTTGTTATATAGTCTCTGTGGGCCAGAAAAGACCTATTTGACCATATTACTTGTCCCAAATATTTAAAGCAGTTAACCTGCTCTAGGGGGATCCCGTTCATCGACCATCGATGAAGTCTTGGATGAAGAGATCTTGGTCTTAGCATAGTTGGGTTGGAGCTCATGTTGATCACAGTATTCATGTAGAGCTTGCAGCATTCTCCTCAGTCCAATAGGGGATCTGGCAAGGAGTGCGGCGTCATCCACATACAGAAGAACATTCAGAGATCGGCCTGCTAATTTGGGGGGGTGGAAAGCATCATTGGCCATGTGAGTCACCAGTGAGTTAATGTAAAAATTAAACAATGCTGGGGCCAATAGACAACCCTGTCTTACCCCTCTAGTGGTGGTAACAGGGTTGGAGACTAGGCCTTTATTGTCTAGCCTGATTCTCAGAAAGGTGTTTGAAAGATCAGATATTACAAGAAAAATTAACCCAAACTGTATGTCACTCGAATACAGTGGCAATAAAGGGTTTAAAACTACGACAGTACAGTATAAACAAATAGAATAGAATACCAGAACATCACTTTCAATATTCTTTCTCCAAAATATCACGAGACAGCAGAAAACAGTTAAGTAGCCCCTTTCACTTACTGAAGTCTTCTAGCATTTTATTGCATTCAAAAAGCATTTCTGACACAAAACTGGCAGTCTAGAAAAAATAGGCACAGCATCCTCATATTAGCTTGCAATCCTCCTTATAGGAAAAATTCTGCCAGGGGAAAACTATTCAGTTTTTCTGGATATGAATCCTGATGCACATTGTACTCAAACTATGCATGCAAAGGTATTGACTGGAAGGCCGAAAAACTGTCTATGGGCAACAAAACATATTTCCTTTAACCACACCAGCACAATGGGAATAGGAAAGCTTTATCTGTCCTTAAGAATCAATCATGTAGCAAAATCTAACAGAATATTGAACCTTAACACTGTATCTTTAACATCATCTTCACTACAGAGCATGAAAATAAATATTCTAAAACTGTGAATGAAACATCAGCCCATCAACCCATAAATGGCCATATAGGTAATGAACACATGAACCTGTCTTATGCAAAGTCAAATCACTTATCTACCCTCATGGGCAGCCTTCTAGAGATTGCATGCCAGCAATGGGCAGAGCAACAGATGCAATTCTTACCAATGAATAGTAAAGCTATGCTCAGTCAGAGGCTTCAGTGAGTACTTAAACACCTATTCATCCAGGCATGCCAGAAGTATCATCACAGTTCAAGAACATGCAAGTGCACTCAAGGAGGGTGTGAAGCAGGCATGGTTAGAAAGACCTGGAGAATTGCATTTTGACCCTGGGTTTAAGGTTCCCTATCCCTGGTCTGCACTGTTTTACTGTTAATCTCAGTGTTGTGGGTTTGAGTCCCACATTAGGCAAATGTTTCCTGCATTACAGTGGGCTGGACTAAATTACCTTCGCCGTGTCCCTTCCAACTATACAATTCTCATTCCTGTCTCTACCTGACCAAATAGCAAATAATGTATTACCTTTCATCACAAAAACTGTGACTGTGGAAGGATTGATTTGTGCTTCAAAGAGGGCAAGAAGTCAGTCAAAATAGGCATCTCAGAATGGGTAGACACATCCACAAAATCACTGCAGATGGCAATGCAAGGCCCCACAGATAATCTCAAAATAAGAAACACTTCAAAAACTAATGTGACTGGTAAGAAGAAAGTTGAAAGGAAAAGTGAAGAGGG